GGGGGAGCGGCTGCAGCCGATGGAAGGCTACAAGAAGGTAGATTTCCCATCCATTACCAGAAGATGGCTGAGGAATAAAAGCAGAATCCAGAACCGCTAGGTTGTAAGAGATACTGGGAATGTGAAATGTGTCTTCAGCTTTCCAAATACAGCTTTCATGGATTCTGGGGTCTGCAGGCAGTGGGGGCCCTTCTCCCCCAAGGGCCCCATCATGACTGGCATGTTGGCTATGTGTGTCTGCACACTCAGTCCCTGATGCCATAGCCTCTCAGCTGGGTTCTGTCACCTGCCTGGGACTGAAGACTGTCTGCTTCTGTGTCCTTCCCTCCCATTACCTTCCCTTTCTTTTCAAGGTCCTCTCTTGGTTGCTGGGATCCAGTAACGTCCCCTTTTCTTCATTCTCCCTGCCCTCTCTAGCCCACAACCACAGAGAAAGCAGGTCTAATGCTTCTAACAGATGAGATGGATAAACATTCTCTAAGAACCTGCTGAGGTCTAGGCTCTAGGAACACAGAGAGGAATCAGACATGCTGCCTCTTTTGAAGAGCTCACGGTCTGACAACTGGTGGCTCTCCCCTTCTTCCCACCTTCTCCTCTCAACCACGTCCTCTCAGGTCTGTCATATCTTCCCGGAATGGTAGACCCCGGCCATCCTGGGAGTGAGGCACCTGGGGAACCGAGCTGCCTGTCTTCTTGTCCTGGAGGGTCAGGGCTTCCTCTCCCCTCCCAACTCCATCCCAAAGTCATGTTTGGATTATGGGGCAGTAGGCTTGGCCCAAGGAGATCTCCAGGTTTCAACTCAGAAGCAAAGTTCAGGGCAGGTGGTCCTGGAGCAGAGGGTAGCACTGCAGGCCAGGGATGGTTTACACACAGGGTGTCTAGGGAGAAGTGGTTTCATAGGGGTGCCACTCTTCTCTGTCAGGTCGGCGTCTGTAAGCTGTGCTGGGAGCCTAACCACCTTTGATAACCTGACTTGTTTTGGGCAGGGTGGGCACGCTACAGCCGTCAGCCAAGTCTGGCCCACCGTCAGTTTTTATACAGCTCACGAACAAAGAACGGTTCTTAGATTTCTAAATGGTTGAAAAATTCAAAAGCATTTCTGATTCTTTTGTGATACATGAAAATTAAATGAAATTCAAGCTTTAGTGTCCATAAAAAAGCTTTATTGGGACACAGCCATGCTCATTTATCTCCCTACTGTCTACGGCTGCTTTTGTGCTACAGCAGCACAGTTGAGTCGTGTCAGATAGGGTATGGCTCACAGAGATGAAAATATTTACTATCTGGCTCTTGACAGGAAAAGTTTGCGAACTCCCACATCAAGTGGGATTATGCATATGGATTTTATTGTGTGGGCCGTGGGAGCCTTTGACGGTTTTTATAGTATGGAAGGAACTAGCGATGACCAGGCTTTCGGATGATTCAGGAAGCAGAGCTCAGGATGAAGTGGGCTGGCAAGAGAGAAGACCCGTCGAGAGGCTGCTGTGAGAGCCAGACTCCAGCTCCCAAGAGCCTGCCCGGAGGCAGTGACCCTGGGGGAGAAGGAGCAGATGACGGAAGTGACCGAGCCTGAGTGAAGGCAGAAGACAAGGGGCAGGTCAGAGAAGACTTGAAGGTTTCTGGTCTTAGTAAACTGCAGGAAGATGAGAAGAGGAAGAGGCAGGATGAGGATGTTTAGGTTTAAGCTGCAGAAGAGGGACTGACGTACCCAGATGACCACTGGGTGGCGCTGTTCAGCAGGCGGATGAAAACGTGGACGACGCTCGGAGAGGCGCTGAGGGCTGAGTGTCCACTTTGGGGCCATCCACGTTTGGAAAACAGCTGAAGTTACAGAGTGGATGAAGGAGACAGGCAGAGAGGAGAGGAGAGCGCCGAGGCACGGTTCTTGGGGAGTAGCTAACTCAAGAAGCAGGCAGGGAAGAGGAGCCAGAGAGAAGGGAAGAACGGTGGGGCCTGGATCTGCAGAGTGTGCCCTCGACTGTGTGATTAGCTTCTGCACTTTTCTGGGTTTGAACAAAGGGCGGGGGAGGAGCGGAAGCGGCAAGAAAAGAGAATATTGTGCTTTGTTTTCTTTCCTGAATGCAAACCTGCCCAAACCAAGCTTCATTATTTACTTGTTTATTTATTTTTGGGGGGCAGGGGGTATTTGTTCCCCTTAGTTAACAGCAACCATAAAAACAGAGGATT